CTCTCTGCGATCCAATGGCATGCGGGAAAGGAGGGCAGCCAACCAGAGAAGGACATGGATGAGATGCAGTATATAATGAGCAGCGTGGCCTGCATCGTTTACTCGGATGGAAGGCGCCTGACGTGTGGCTATGGCCCTATGATTAGTCAATAAAGCCTGTTCTGTTGTACCAGTCTTTTTCCTATTAGGGCTCGAGTATTCAAAATTAGTGGCATCGCACGCGTTCGAATTACGCGAATCGGACCCCAGCCCTTTCTCTTCAATGGTCAACACAGGCAAAGACCCTTAGATGCCAGCTGAAATTGTCATGGCGTTCATCCGATGTCCAATAAAGTGGATCCATAGACATTGCCCGGGATTAGGACTACTGCATCTGAAGAGGCATTGGCAACTCAACGACGACGACTTGGACAGTAAAAGCTGGCTAACCTGCAAATGGATCTACGATGGATGCTGAGTCCTTACTGCAAGTCTACAAGAGCAAAAACCCTCGTCAACTATTCGCACGGGCCACTATCCTGCCAGATGTGGGGTGCGGGGAGTGTCGAACTGGATATTTTACCACTCATGAACAGTGCGGTGAACCAAGCCAGAAACTGAGGACAGCGTTCCTCTTGGGTGTGAAGCGGTGTGAAGTTTCGGAATTACAGATAGTTACCATCTTGACGCTCAGTCATTGGTTAAAGGTAATTAGCGTGGCGTAGGGATGACGTCATGTGACCCGGGTCGCGACATCCGGCTGCGTGGAGTCACGCGGGCATTAAATAACGCGCCAGGGACTGAGACCACACTTCTCACGAGTTTTTAGTGTCCATTACAATACTGCGTAATAGACCAACGGCAGAAATGAAAAACAAGGATAGGGATATAGAATGACCATATTTTCACTCTTTCGCTCGACTAGTTCGTGACCGGATTGTGACTTGCATTAGCCTTTTTAATGGATTTCACTTTACCCTACCCTCTCCTTGATCATATTATGTTGCCTAAGTGCAATGAGGCGACGTATAACAGCGCGGAAATATGGGACCACGCTGGCCTCAGCTAAGCCTTCGTCCCTCTGCGATCAAATGACATGCGAGGTAGATAGGCAGATAACCAGGGAACGACATGAATAGACAGAAGAACATATTGAGCGGCGTAGCAAGAGTGGTAGACTCCGGTGGACGGCGCCTGACATGAGGTTCTGGCTTGCGATTGGCCAATAAAACCTGTTATGGTATTCAAGTCTTCATACACGGGCTCATATATTCTACAGCAGCGACGTATGAGAGTGCAGATAAAGTGGACCACGTAGGCCTCTTAAAATCTTCTGTCTCTGCATTCCAATTGAATCCGTGGATGATATGCAGGTAGCCTGATACAGACACGTATGCAAAGCAATATGTTTAAGTGGTGGACTCGTAGCGTCTTTGTGAGCTATACCTTACAGCGCTGCTAGGCTACGTTCAGCAGCAGATCAATAAGAAAGGCAAGACCCATGATTGAGAATATGACGCTTTTTACATTTGAATAACCAAGTATTTTAAAATAGCGAGTGAGTGCATCCTGGTCGTTACGTGCTTTCAGCATTTCCGTAACACTTCTATAGAAAACAGAAGAAAAGTCTCGAGAATGCTAGCTGACGATGTCCTGCCTGTTCGTCAGATATTCCATACAATTAGACCTTCATGCATTTTTCAGGATATGGAGCATGGACGTCAGTGTCATAGTTGAGAAAACGACAAAAATGGTTAATTTAAATGACTGCATTTAAAAGAATAAAAAATATCCATATTTTAACAATGATTTACTTTAGAGCAATTTAGAAGCATACGGATATAATTATAACGAAACTTGACATTAAAAAACTAGCGATTAAAAAAACTCAGCAATTTGAGGTGACAAAAGTTGAGCAACTGAAGTTGCGTTATTTGATGAGGCAATTATAAAGTATACCTTCATCTAATTAATGAAAACAGTAGCAGACGAATAAGTGTCCTTTTTATTTGGCTTACTAAACCGACCACTCTTTTTGGTAGACATTTATCTTGCTACGGTTCTCCTAGCAGGAACAATGCAATGAAAAATGGATCTAATACACGTAAGTTTTTAGCATAAATACTAATAGACGCATCATTTACGGTCTCACTTATCATGCTGCAGCATGCACTTTTAGTTGTAGGATGGTGGAGTCGATAAAAAGTTAAATTTAATAAGGTGCCATTTTTCGGACAATGATCAAGCACTTTAAATGAAATTTTCGCAACAATTCATGGTGGTCTTTCAAGCTGAAGTGAAATGGCCGTCGAATGCGAAAAAAATGCTCGAAAATATTGTTACTTCTGCTAGAAACGATAAAAATTATTTTTTCTGATTAAGGCGCAATTTTTTTCACTAACTTTTTACTAACATATTTTAAGGCACTCGAACCACAGCGCACATTGTCAATATGTTTGTTTTGAAGCATCTTGTTTTAGTTGTTTCGTAATTTTCTTCAATCCTTACTTCTGGTTGGTTATTGCTCCTTGTCATGGTCTATTAAATCGCACGTAGATTGATGATTGGCTGAGCTGGTGACTTGATCCAATATGGTTGCTGTGTTTTTCTGCTCTCTGTGTGAGCCATGAGCGAAGAGGATGAGCATCCTAAGGGTATACTAAAGCACAATAGTGATGAAAGAAGGAATAAAAAATTTCAGTGGGACGAAATGAATCTAATGGCTACTTATCATCCCGCGGACAAGGATTATGGGCATATGAAAGTCGATGAACCGCCAACACCATACAATTTCGAATACAATGCACCGAAGGAATCAAATCAAGGCGTATCACCAGAGGCCTTAGCAAGCAAGCTTGCGGCTGCTTCGGGAACACTGCCTAAAATGCTCGACGTGAGTCCTTTTTACGTTGTTATCTGTTATAGTTTTTAAGAAATAGCGGAACTTAATATTTGCTTCTTCAAATTAATTTCCACATATGTATGTGTGTTATCTTTATTTTCCATGTTAAATGTAAAACAATCCGATTTATCTAAGTGTATATACCGGTTTATTTTAAAGAAAGGACGAAACTTGTTTTGAGTAACGTCGGCACTGAGAATCCAAGCCTAGTTTTTGTGACTACTTAAGTGTTTTATTTAAACTATGTGACCAGGAATAGAAATTTGGTGGAATAAATTGTAAGGCATTAAATCCAGGAAATTTTGTCATGTTTTTTTTTACTATTTCGTTTATGCATCGATTTTTCATAAAGTCAATATTCTCGTATTCAGTCTGACGCATGTGATTCACATTATAAATGATCGTATCTGGGCTGCCATATTCTTTACATACTTTTAATGCTTGTTATGGTGTTATGTTTTTATTAAATGCCAATTTATCGCTGATTAGTAAATGTCTTGGCGCGTTATTCCGTGTGCCGCTTTGGTGGAAACGTCCAAAATCTGAAGATAAGCGTCTGTTTCCTAGGTTAATGAAAATTTTGTATGGTCTTAGAAAATTCAGTTGTGCTAGAGCCCTTCAAAATTCATATGCCTCACTTGGCGTTATGAACTTGTACTATATGTAGTTGCAAGTAGTTAAGGGGTTATTTTGCATAAGTTCTTGTTTTTCTCTAACACTTATATAGTTAGCTGGCTCTGAAGTCACCGAAGAAATAAATTTGTTCATGTGCAGTTTACTCGCATATGAGTGTGGTTTTATCGTTATAATTCCTCACAAAAATAGCCGTCGTTTGCATCAAGAGTTGTAATTTCGCCCTATTTAAAATTCGCAATTCGTGTCGGCCTTTCTAACCTTAATGGCATTTTTCATCTTCAAAGCTCACACAAATATATAAGGGCCCCCAAAATTGGCTAAAACAATCTAAGTTGGCACGGGATAACGTGGGAAGAAAAGTGATTCCAAAGGCTATGGGATGGCAGTGGTTTACTGGATCAGTGAGAGGGTGGTCGTGCGGAGTGTTAATGTGTAAGTATTTATGTGTTGTATACTGGCGGGCAGATCATCGAACGAAAGTCACTGCACGATGTGGTAACAATAATTAAGTATTCGAACTTGAGCTTTCGCGATCAATGTTTATCAGGTTTTACGAGATCGTACTTTTAGCAAACACCTCTTACTCTTATTTGGGGTTAATATTCGTATAATTTCTTCCACCGTGGTAACAAAAAAGAGGAAGCAATCCAGAAAAATAGCCGTTCTCGATTTTAGCATTCGATTGTCGCCGAAAGATTTTAGGGACAATTATGCGTCCTGAGGAGGTGGTTATGGCCATTGATGATATTTGCTTCAGGATATTCAAAACATTAGTCGTAAGAATGCTGACACTTAGCGACTATTCGTTGCTCTGACCTATTTGATGCTACTTGATTGGTAGAACATCAATAATTCCTGGTAAAGTTTGCTGAGGGCTTAGGTAAGCATACTGAGAAAATCGACAGGTAGCTAACTGACCGAAATTCGTTGCAAGATGAGTTAACAGATGTCAAGTAATCAAAATAAAGAACGTTTACGTACAATCTTGAGCAGGGGTTGACCGAAGACAAGTTCGATTTCTCGAAAAGGGCTCAGTCGTGGGGAGGTAGTAAGTTGTCTTCCATAAGTGGTGCTTTGAATGTTTGCGTGTTTAATCACCAAAAATAGGCACTGTAATAGTTTTACGACCTTTTTTTAAAATTAAAAATACATGACCGGGAAGGAAGTGTGAGCGTATGCAACATGGTAAGTCTTCGTTTCGGAATGCATAATTTTAAAGCCACTTTGTTAAATAAATTGGTTTTCTGTAGTATTTTGGGTCAAGCGAGAACCCAAAAAACAGGGCAGTTATTTGGGTTATGAAAGCAAACGATTTAATTTAATATGGGTTAGACAATCCCTCGAACTGATGGGTAGTTTGCTCTGCTTACTGGCGTAACCATGTTGAGTCTTTGCATATTATTGCAAGACCACGATCCCGGTAGTTCTTTTTTATATTTTGACCTAATTCGCGGTTTGCTTTGTAAATGTTTTTGATTCTATCGTTTGTTTGGAACTCGGTGTTAATGCACGATGCAAGCATTACTAGGCCCACTTAAATTCTTTAGGATGGCAAATGCGATGCGGAGGCTAAAATGACACCTGAAGAGGCAGAACAACATCGAAAATTTGAGGAGAAGCGGAAGAAGCACTACAATGAGTACCAAGCAGTCCTCGCGTTAAGAGAGGCTCACGCTTCTGAGGATGATGAGGATGACTCCAGCGACTTTGTGGATCCAATTGCAGCGCAGAACGCGAAGATTAACGCAGAGATGAAATTTTTTGCTTCGCGCAATCCGGAATGAGGATTCATGTTATCCTGTTTTTTCGCCATAACCACCCTTTACGTACACGATTGTGACCTGGATCCGTGTTGCTTCCATTGAAGAATAAATATACATATACGAGTTAGCATCGAATTCATTTAAAGTGGGTAGGGTGACGTTATTTAGTCTAAAACCCGATCAAACGCTTGATAGCTACGAAATAGTTGAATTGACCTGCAAACTCAAACGTAACTCATCACGACAGCTATGCCTTTGTTCGTGTCCGTTGTTCAGAATAATGCACTGAGTTTTGTTTGGTTTTTGTGAGGTTATTTCATCCAAATTTAATGTCTGAAAATTTCATGGGAAATCCCCAAAAATAGTTTCAGAAATTTCTGGTACCATGTATGTATACAAAACAAGTTGCAAAAATGTTCTCCAATCAGTCATAGCTCTGTATTGCTGCTCCATTGTGAATTAAAACGAAGATAGCATGTCCTAAAACCACGCCGATAACAAGGCTGACTTTTTTCACTCTAAGTGAAGAATCCTTAGTTACACACAAATCAATAATGAGGCGGCTGCCAATAGCAAGCGACACCGTCCTGGTGACTCCATTTAGATGCGCTGATTCTTTAATATACAAACAGCATTTTCGCCATTGATAAACTGTGAACGCTATCTAGCACCTTTCACATTCGTCTTATGGACCCTATCAAGTTAATACGTTCTGAGGTACGAGTATCTAAGATTGTTCTTGTCATGCTTTATGGTAATCTGCAAACGTCTTTTTTCATGTTATGACTTGTAAAATAATATGGCGGTTACAGTATAACATTTGACCACTGGCGAAACAGCTCCGTGAAAACCACCACTTTTTAAACTAAGCTACTAGACCTCTAGAAATGACCCACGATTGCTAAAACAGCATGAGTCGCTGTGCTGCGATGTTAATACCAGAATCTTTAAACGAAAAGAGAGATAATGTACCCCGACACATCTTTGGTTTGATCACCCGAGGAAAATCAGACCCACACCATTCTTGCGGAGCATGCAATCAGGACCGATATTGCGTAATCGTTAGATGAAAATATACTTTAACCTCTGCACAAACTTCGTCCATCACAGTATTCGCCATACAAGAAGTCATACGCGTCCCATCGATGTCCGACCCTACACGTTCGAGTCACTGAAAGTTCGGTGAGCGGTGAATGGTGCCCTTAGTTACGCTAGGGCTTCGAACCAGAAATAAGCCACGGTTAATTGCACGCACATTGACCTGCTAACCGTTCTTAATTGGGACTCGCCCCAAATTTCACTTAAAGTGCGGAATCCCAGTTTTGTAATTGCAAATTCGCTTTGATTAACAATCAAATAAATAGTTTGCGTAAACGACCAAACTCAAAGCACAAGTGATTTATCAATCATGTGTTTTTCACTTTAAAAAGATAAAGATTAATCACAAGGACAAACACAGAGTGCGCGTGCGAGGGAGAGGATGAAGGATAAGGGGCCGTAGGGGAAGAGCAAGAGGAAACAACGAACCGCATAGCGACGTGAGTACAATGCAAACACATAAAATTCACCGTAGAAGAGTACCGGATGCGGCTATTCAACAGGAAAGGCAGCCGGGAAGAGCTATACGGGGGGAGGAGCTACTGATCTTTCAGCAAGCACACAAATGGTGGCTAAGGCGAAAATTGTTGGCCTTCCTTATTGAGACACTGGGAAATTAAATGAAGGATTAAAAGTGGAGTCCGGGGGTAGTCATTGAAGGGGGAGGACCAGCCAGTCCATGAACGGAAATAGCGGCAGCTGCGGCTGGGAAGGGGGTGTGCGGAGCATTAATGAAGACCGGTGGGGGCTGGGGATGCTCATTGAGGGAACGTGGAGCGCCTGTCGGGCGATGGGGAGCTGTAAGCATTGCAGGACCTGCAGGAGGCCCCGAGTGATGGGAGAAAACGCTTGGAGAGTTTGCCAGACCCCCACTTGTATAAGCAAACTACAAAAAGACAGTACGATTACTAATGTAGAGGAACGGTGGATGGCCGCCATGCCGACATAGAAACATTTCAGAAACCCAGAGGTGATTAAAAGGAAGTCAAAAAAAATTTTGCATAACCAGAACATCAACAATTGAATGCACTCCTATGTCAAAATGGCAATAATAGTAAAATACAAAAAAAAATTAGAGGTACTTTAACTTTCGAGTTTACAATTTTTGGAATATATATCCAGACAAATGGTACACCTAAAAGATCACGAAATAAGAAGACCAACATCGGCTGCCTGACCTGTTATGGGGGACAAACCTAAAGCCAAATGGAAATCGACGAAAATCGATGATGTTAAGTAATCTAATGGGAAAATGTAGAATTGAGGCAGTACCCAGATATCAAGCAAACTGACGACTCATACCAGGATTAATAACAGTATGGCGAGCTCTTAAGAGAAGACAAAATTGATCCAATAACAATTTTGTTGGCTAACATTCCTTCAAACGGGGTTACTTTAACATCAAAGCCTATAAAGGGAAATTTGGAAAAGTCCGTTGATCCGGTGGTTAATATCTAGAACATTAATTGATATTTATACTTTTCCTTGTTTTGTCATAGCACAAGCAATCGAGACCAGGAAGCATTAACACCAGAAGCTGAATAAGTACAAAATTTGGCAATGAGTAAAGCACGACGTATATGGAGGCATCTTACGTTTGGATCGAATTGATGAGGTGGTGGTGGCGTAGGGTGAGTAGGTGACGAAGCATATAATCCACTGGGGGGCGGAGGGGCTTGTGCTGGCGTAGCGAAGGCTGCACTGCCTCCCCCAACCGCGCCTCCACTTCCACCTCTCATGGAGCCGGAGCCGTAGAGAGAAGCAGTGCCGTTGGCTGAATGGAGACGCGATGCCATCGACACCGACGATGGCCGGTCCGCACCGATTACTCCAACGTAGGGCGGATGTTGGTGATGAGGCGGTGGTGGAGGAGGAGGAGTGTAGCTGGAGGACCAAAGAGCGGCGGCTTGAGGAGCGACGGCAACAGCAGCCATGACCGCTTCTTGTTGAGATTGATGCTGCTGGTGCTGCCACGATGGGAATCCACGTTGATGCGTTGGTGGTGGTGGGTGGTACAAACCACGTGGGGGTGGCTGCTGTGTGGCTTGACCAGCGCTTCCTGCAGCAAAGGGAGGCGCAGTGAAGTAGCTGTCTGCTCCCATTCCATTTTGAGAGCAAGCACCCCCTACGCGATTATTTTGATGGCGCTGAAAATACGGATAAAGAAGTGCTTATACTTTTTACTTACTTAAAATGACAACACGGGAGAATATGCGCATTTCAGTAATAAGAGGCAAATCAATGTGATGACCAACTTCCCACCCGATAAAATCAGATTGGTAACAAAAACTGACTAGATGACCATAAAAAAGGCGCCGACAGAACGACCATTTTCTCGGTTCAAAACTTTTACAGACAAGAGCAATGTCCGCTTAAACGTAAAAACTCAATTTCGTCCACATACCTCATAAATACACATTATTATACAATTACAATCTTTTCTAAAGGAAGAAAATTATGGAAATAAATAAACTCAGAGAACGGATAAAGAAATGCCAGCGTGTTGAAAAGTTCCCGGACTATTCCAATGTTGTGTTGTTGGCGATCCTCAAGACAGTAACCGATGTAAAAATTCAGACTTACTACAATGGATCTTTATAAACATGATACAACGATATTGTAACAATACCAACTAATCCACTCATCAACGGCTCATGGCTACATGCAAAGGCACACAGAATTTGTGAATTCAGTGCACAAATTATAGACAATCAGGGTACCCAGAATTATCAATTTTAACTGCAGGGCAAGGTGGCCCGAATAATTTTAAGCCAATTACTCTGAACGCAATATAAGTGATAACTGCTTACCATCGATAAATCAGGTAATCCGAAACCCATCATTGGTTGTTGGGGTTGCAAAGGTTGAATGGACTGCCTAAATGGCTGCTGTTGCTGTTGCTGTTGCTGTAAATATATGGCAGCTGCAGCAGCGGGATTTAGGCCAATAGAAGAATCGGGAGTTGGTTCTACCTTCTTGGCTCCATATCCATCAAAAAATGCAGATGAAGAGTTGCCAGTATATCCGACCGACGTTTTTCCAAGCCAATCACCAACTTCACCAAGCGATCGTCGAAACTGAGAGGCCTGAGCAGCAAGTGGGTTGCCCGAGACGGGATAGGGAACCGAAACTGAGAAAGAGGTGGCCTCAGATTTTGACGATGGTGGAGAATCAGAACGGGTTAAACCAGTTGGCTGCTTCTGAGGTCTAACTTTGCAGACATTTGCGGAGGTTGTCGTTGTGACAGTGAGTGGTGAGGGAGCAATCGTGGTATTGGAAACGGCTGGTTCAGGCATGTGGGAAACACCATCTTCCTGAGATTCCGTCTCATCTGGTTTCGAAAATGATTGTCTAACGTTGTCTGCTTCGAACACTGTTGAATTTGGTGTCAAATTCTGACTGGGATTGTTCACAACAGGCGCTTTTGATGGTTGCTCGGAGGCGACACTCTAGTACACCAAAATGTAGGTGATTAACAGTTGATGATTAATTAATTGACAAAATGGTTTTATGTTATTCTATACAAGAAGTAATTTCGTCTTATCGATCGCATGGTGCAAATTAAGAACATGTCGGCAAAATTGCGCGGCGAAAAGAACAAAATAGGTCAGTAAGATATCTATGCAAAAATAAGCTGCAAATTAATTCACACTGATAGAAGAATTAAATTACAATAGTAACAAATTAACGATATACCCACATGAGGATTGGTGGTTGGTCTTTCCTCCACTTTAGTCATCGACGCAGAAGCGTTTTCAACGGAGATGCAGCTTGTCGAAGTGTTTGACGCCCGCGAACCAACAACGACAGACCAAGCGTAAGAAGACGTTGCAAGTGTTTTGACTGAAGAAGTAGAGGTGACTGCCTTCACAGCGTCACTTTGAGAAACTCGTGCATTTGAACTTGCCTGAGCAGCCAACGCAGCAGCCTTCTCACTTATAGTCTCCTGAAGTGGTTTTAGCCAAGCATTCGTCGGAGTAGAGGTAGAAGTTGTCAATTTCTTGACATTCGGATCCAGTTGGTTTGACGAGGTCTGACTGGGAGTAACAGTCGAAGAGGGAGAGGAAACTGTGACTAAAGTGGCGTGTTGTTTGTCCTTCCCAGAAACCTCAACACCTTTAGACGACCTGGAGGGTTTCCGGTCACCTTTGGGTGACGAGGACACCTGTTTACATAACTTCCCAGGATCCTGACTGAAAACAGAAAAGCTCCATTTATAAACGAAAAGAACTCGAAGACAATCAGCGGTTGAGATAGATGTGTTAAGATGCATATATAATTTAAACAAAGCAGAAGAGAGGATAAAAATTTCCAAGTCAGAAGGCGCCGCTTAGGTTCGACATTTAACAGCAACACAACCTGGTTTTCCTGAAAGTCAAACATCGATTTCGAAACCATTGTTGAGCCAAATTAAATGTTTCCTTGGGCAAAAGATAGATTCCTCTTTGTGAGGTTGCCATAAACATGAAACGGAGGCCAATTTTATGAAGTCCATTAAAATCATTACTTTCCGGCGCAATTGTTAATGCTCACCTTTTTGGTTTCGTAACGGAAGAACGTTCATCAGATGACACAGAAGATTTCTGACTTTTTTGTTGCAGCTTTGCCTTCTGTTGTTTTCTGCTTGATTTAGACCTCACCTCCATAAACCCGTCTTCGCTGGAGCCAACAGAGCTGGCGACTACAGAAGCCGCATCCTTGAATTCGTTGGAGGATTCAACAAGAACGGGAATGCCAGAAGTAGACTTTACATTCGGCGGTGGAGAATCCAAAAAGGTGGAATTCTCGCAGTAGGAAGGTGGTGCTTCTGCGTTAATTGACATTAGCGGGACAATTTCACCAATTATTTTCGGAATGGGTCGACGTTGCCCTGATCGCTTGGAAGGATGTCCGTTTAAGTACCCGTGACCGCCTCATAGGAAAAAAAACAACAGATACAACAAATCTGTCTGCTACAATGACAACGATTAAAACAATGTCGTCAAGCCTGCGAATGCGCACCTTTAAGGCATTACTCACCCTTGTTACTGAAATAACCATCGCTGAGATTTTTAAGATTGCCTGTTTTTGTAGTATCAGCTGCTGTGGTGTTGATATTGGTACATTCAGCAACAGAACAACCCGGAGATGTCCCAAAAAGTGAGGAACTGAAGCTTTCCGATGCGGTCTCCCAGATCTCTACATCACTCGTCAATGTGACTATAAGCAAAAAAGATAAAGCATGTGTCCTTGCGGAGCAGACTATTTAACGGGACACATGCGCGTCTGACCCTTATTAAACTCATGCAGATAACTGACGGTAGAGAGTGAACATGCCGCTAGACAACACACATGCGCTTCGCGAGGCTTGACAATGTTGGTAACGAAGTCTTGTTTCAACTTACCGGAGTGTGCGTGTTTTCGAGATTTAACCACAATTGGAGCTGAGAAGTTGCTGGCGCATGAATTTGTGGAGTCAACTGCATTTTTCTGTTGGTGGCCGGTAGGAGCACCGCTTGCGTTTGATTCTGTATTAGCACCACCCCCTTCTTTACTATTACTGTCCCCACTTGAGCCATGTTGAATTGACTTTCCGCTCCCGGTGGCGGCTGAGACGCTATTACCGTTAGCACTTCCACCCTTAAAATCATGGTCATCTTCATCTGGGTGACGACGATGGTTATTATGGCGACGAGTAGTTGTGCGATCAGCACGATTGCGACGCTGTGATTGCCTTTGTGAGCCTCCGTGTTGCCCCCTTCGGAGCCGGCCGCCATTGCTACCGCCACGCTGAGGTCTCTGAGACTGCTGTTGACAGCCTGGTTCCGTTGGCTGCAAAGTAGTAGTCCCCTGTTCGGAATCAGATAACGCCACAGCATCAAAATCCTCGCCTGACAACCCCACTCGAGGCTAAAGGAAACAGCGGTGTCAGTTTGGTAAAATAACCTAGAGTAGCAAAAATTAAAATTTTAAACTACTATAATTTCGAATTCGGATAATTTGCCACAAAGTGAGACCATAACAGCAACCAAGTCAGAAATTTGAAACAACTCATCGTTTCGAGGCCAATACTTAGCTCATTAGAGCCAGTGAAGGTGAAATTTAATGAGAACGAATGTAGCCAGGATGTGGTGATTAAACTTGCACATTCATTTTGATACATTAAATGAATAATAAAGCATAAATGAAAACAATTACAACATACTAAAACATCAGAACCTTCAGGTTCTTCATCTATCTTTCGTTGGTTAGGTACATGACTTCGAGATTTCCGACTGTGAGAATCCAAAGCTTTGTAAGCGTCGTCATTACCAGCTTGACGGCGATTGCCAGGACCACTACGTGAGAAATTCGTTCTGCCTCGGCCACTACATGGCGGTGCCACTGCTCCAGGTCCTTTGGCAACAGATACATCACCTAAACACGATTAACAAAAACCAGTAAATTCATCATTCTTCGTAGGAGGGAATAACTGTTAATCTATTCTACCAGAACGAACGAGGCATAGGGATAGCAGATATCATCTGATTAATGAGAACCAACCAGAAAAGTTGCTAACTCAATTAAATTGGAAGTCTGCTCGAAATAGGAAAATTGTCTCCGACTAACAACACACTTTACTACATATACAAATATTACCATGAAAGCTACCTTTGCGATTACTCGTATATCTACCACTGCTGCCCCTCCATCTTTCTCTCTGACAGTATGACGAAGAAGCTTGTTGTCGGTCATAATCCCCGTTCTGTCGCGGGCCATCCTCATTCTCGGCAGGTACAACGCGAGTAGGCCGAGTCAAACGACCCGAGCCACGACCACGCAACTGTCTGGGAAAGGTTCCACTAGTACCATCAGCACGACGATGAAGTTGTCTCGAGTTTCCATTATGTGTCTCACCACTACTATCTACTGCTGGTTCATCGGTAGGCTGATCATCCACTCGATCATTCAAAGGAAGGTTTTCGCATACTTCATCAGTACTGTGCAATGACCGCTTGATTAAATCCCTCGATGCTATTCGGCTTTGTCGACTACCACTCCCATAAGGCGGACAGCGCAGACTGTTGGATTTATCATCGACTAAAACGGAATACGTCGATGTAAGCCAGACCAAAAAACATAAATAGAACCGATACAAACCCACAATAAAAAAACTTACAAATATCAAATCCAAAGCACATAAAAATTTCCCCGACAAAATGGTCCTATAATTAGCCCACATCTGCTGTTTTTCTTTAACAGAAGCTTAAAAAAGCATACCGGTTATGTGTTTTGTCAGCCCTCCACGATTAGATTTAAGAGACTTGAGATAGTTGCCCCTGGAGGCCGGAGGCGGGAAGGTGTCGAAGTCCTTTTCACTCCACTTTCCAGAAAGATCGACTTCCATGAGGGGAGTGATGTGAGTTTGTTGCTGGGCTGGTTGGGGCTGCGGGTGCTGTGGTGGGATAGTTTCCATTGCTGATGACGCGGGGGGTGTAAATGCTGTGCGGGTGCCGTCCTCGTGAGCAGAAATATGGAGATGGTGGCCATTAATAACCATATTGCGTGACAGGCTGTGAGGAACAAGCTGCTTGTTAGAATCACTCTCAACATGTTTCTCTGTTGCAGATGGGTCAGAGTCCTGAGTCGAGATTCGAGGGTTGGAGGCTTGAAAATTAAGGTGATCCAAAACCGCAGGCTCTCCTGCGGTAGTCGGGTAAGTGTGCCCAGCATTGTCAGTACGTCGGTCAGACAGTTCAAGGGGCTCCACAGTGGGAAGGCTTTGTAGCCCTTGACAATGACCACCTTTGGCGACCTGCTAAGATGTGAGAACTTTAGAATTTTTGACTTTAGTTCACAGAAAAGTATTAACATTGAAAATTGTGCTTACTGGTTGATTGAATGCATTGACAGGAAAGTGGTCGGATTTCAGATAAAATCCTTGGTTAGCTTGTAGTTTTGGTGAGTTAGATAGAGGATATGGCGGCTGAATAAAGGGGGGCTGGTTCGTTGATGAAAAGGCGGTGGGATTCCAAGAGTTAGTCATTGGTGACTGTGATTTCACATGAGACGGGAGATGACTGCCGCCGGCGGTTACCGAATGCATCAAATTGGGGAAACTGCTATTGTACAAGACATTCATAGCGGCAATCACCGGTTCTACATTGTGACTTGGTGATTGGTTAACAGAAGTGTGCATTGGGAACGCGCCAGGCCCCGCAATCGCCGCAGCAGCAGAATGCATGATAGACATAGAGAAGGCATTGGAATCAGCAAGACTATTTTTTGGTGATTCGATAGACTGATGATCCTTTCTTTTAGGTTCACCGGTGTCTTCGTCGGAACAGATTTTTTTTCTAGCCATTTGAGCTCTATTTACAGCAGATTTATAAGCTAGGGTGCGTTCTTCACGTTGAGCCTGCGCTTGTGCCTCAGAAACAGTAAACGATGGTCTTTGTAATTGTTCTGAAAGAACCAGAGGTTCGCGACCGGGAACCATATCCGTACGAACAACGGGAATCGCGGAAGCATCTGTAACAAAGGCGCAAGCGTTAGTTTTAAATTACTCGCGGTATACGATGCAAAAAATAGATACCTGAAAAAGCGCCGTCAATAGGACCACAAAAAGGAACGGAAAATGTTTGTGAAATAGCAGGTATGGAATTGAAGCAGGCGGATCGATCCCAGGCAGACATTGGGTAAGAATGAATGGGTACAGGAACCTGAGGTTGAATAGAATCTGGTTCCCACTTATTTTCCGATAAAGTGGACCCGTTTTGATTATCTTTAGGCTGTTCAACAACAGAAGTTTTTTCCACTTCGTCTTCATCATCGTCACTGAAATTTATGCGTTCTTGAAAATCAGGTTCTTCTGTTGTCACCGCTGCCCATCCGGTGTGAGGAGTGGTGGCACTATTAGAAACCGCAGGTGTAATCGTTTTATCCTCTGTCGTTTCTTCAGCAATGACGGATTCCTTAGACGATGGGTTTTGATTTGCTGATGCCTATAAAGCATAAATTTAGATCAAGTTACGAGATTCATTAAAAAAAATAAGACGAACCGTGATTGGAGGACGCTGATAAAATGGCACTGTTGGCCCCGTTGTTTTTCCAGTTAATGGTCGATTGAAATCAACGGAAATATCTTGGAGCTGTTTTGGGGGCAATGTTTTTGATGATCTTGGCGCAAAGAAGGCTAAAATGCCGAAAAAAAGATTGCAATTTGTGGTTCTTCATCAGGCAACCGCAACAATATCAACTTACGTTTCTGTGGAGGCTTGACAAGGGATGACTGCGGAGCCTCTGGACACAGTGAATTAGATGTATCATCACTCTCGACTTTTTCATATCCTTTTACGATATCTTTGAGAAGTGAAGGGCTTGAAGGTGTCGTCGATATAGGCTCGGATTTAATATCAGCCATTTCGGAAGATGTGGGGTTAGTCGATCCAGTCCCCCAACCAGATCCCCCTGGTGGAACGATGTTTATGCGTGTGTCTTGGCCGCCCATTTCAGCTTTGATACTAGGTACCCATGGAGGTGGGGGGGGATTGCGTCTCGTACCTTGCAGCTTTCCAACGAGCTGAAGGCCTCCACTTCGTAGAGCTGACAGAGAAATTGGAAAAAATTAAAGATTAGATTTAAAGCACTTCGATATTTGTCACTAAATAAGGTTGCAAATGCACTTTCGACCAAAACAGAAATATCTCAAAGGCCGAAAAACTAAAATAAAAATACTTTATAATGCAATAATGAGAACTTAAAGAGCAAGACTGACCACAAAATTATGCAAGGGCCCTTTCTGCGAAAACATCGTTAAATACTTACTAGGTTTTGATTGAGTTTCGCTGACATTCCCCTTATACACAAGGTTAATATTAGATTGTGCAAATTTGCCTCTGCTTTTGTCACTTCTGCTAAGCTTAGAATTCATCCTGCAAAAAAATTGAAAAAGTTAGAAGCAACTAACCGTCCCAACGGCGTAACACTAAACAGAAACTGCAATGTGCACAAACAACAGACAAAGTAAAGACAAACCGAATCCTTTTACAAAGTGCCGCCGTGACAACAATGGGGTCCGAAAGCTATGAAGATTTAAACACAAGGAATCAGGAACCAAAAAACCTTTAAAAAACAAATTCATTGCGTGAATATAACAATTGAAAAACCGAAAAAATTGAAAATAAAGCATTACCTCCATGAATGCAAACATCACAAAATAAAAATGCCTTTTGTTATTTGATACACGTTGTGGTGAGCAGCACACGAACGAACATGATTCAATTGATTTACGTGATTGTACTTCACCTCACTATGTTCGATGTTTATCAAGGCTGTATAAACACGTACTTGTTATCTTGTACACACGCACGGCTGCATCCATAATTTAGTTGAACTACTGGCCGTTCGCATTTTCTGCTCTTACAGTCGAGCCTTGTCAATGTAGATTATCGGCCCTGGTGTCCTTTCTATAACCGCACGGGGGCCCACTTCAACATATTTATTCTCATTCTTAACTATACTCAATCAAAACACAGACGTAGTCCAAGCTAAATAAAATCATGGTTTCATTTCAACTTTGCGTCAACAAAAATAATCCTTTTAAGTGATTTCGTGGTTATGGTCATGGTTGGTCATTAAATTTAGTTTACGTTTGTTTTGAATTGTGTACAACAATAATAAAAAGAATTTTGAAATTGAGTTTGTTTTGTTTTACTTTTTTGACTAAAAAATGATCGATTCACAATATGCCTAGTTTTGGGGCTTTTAGAATTTACAAAAAGTCTCAAACTTAGTTATACCTGTCTTTACAAGGTATTAGGAATTAAGAATAGTCCTTTTAATCAAAAAGGGCCTAAATTGATTCCAAAATTATGATCAGTTTATCTCTTTGTGCCGTTTCGTCAGCGTCGACTTTATGGATGTGTTTATTAGGAAGGTACTATGGCATTTTTTTTACATATTTCAGCAATATCTAAACACTAGCCTAGCGCACTTAGTCTCTTGAACTCCTCTTTTGCCGTCAGAGTAAGGGCACTATTACTTATATCGCTAACCCTCTATCTGTATATGATTCTGGTGTTCACTTTTCTCTAATTAATGTTCCTGCCTTTACATTTTACACATCTACTATGCTCTCAGATACATAACTTAGGGGTAGCATTGGAAATCTGCTTTATTTGTGTTCTTGTACAAAAAAATTAAAGAGTAATATTGAAATTAATTTAAAGATCATTGCACTTCTTAATACTATAAAATGTGGAGATTATGAAAGATAGAGTGCAAATTAACTATGATTGCTCAAAGCACTTTTTTCGTCAGCATAAATACTTCTGCGAAAAAATTAGAACTCCATTTCGGATCACCGAATTCCTAATTTTCTAGGATAGTATTTAAACGGCGAATAATCCATTAAACTTTAGACAACTTGCAAAAGTGTTTCTTAAATTGCTGAGCATGTGTTTATATCTCAAGATAAAACCCTTTGTATCTGAATATGTTTTGTTTAAATGTCTCGATAATTTTCATAACTGTTTATGGTCTGTTATATCTTTTATTGTTTTTTTTGCGGTCGTTGGTTTTCTACATTTGTTAATTTTTTGCTTCCTAGCTTTTTAGCGTGTAATGATTATTGTAATGAATGTTCCTAAACCCGCTTTTTATTCGAACTGACCATTCCTTTTGTGTACAGGTCAATATTCAAATTTATTACCCTGATGTTTTAAAAGATGGTGAGGTAAAAATGTAGTCAACAAGTGTTTCTTTTAAACTTTCAATAATCTTTGTTGTTGGTTCAATAGGGTTTTGTTAATTTACCGCTATTCTGTTTTTACAAACCTCGTTCAATCCCTTTAATCATGTCACAAATGAACGAAGTTGTCATAGTACCTGGCTCTGTTACTCACTAATGTTACATGAATTTATGGAAATGGATTCATAATAATAATCGTCATTAAATTTAGCTTTTGAGTTTTTAGTTTTTTTTCTAGTTAGCACTTTAAAATGGCCGTTAAATATTGCGAAGCTCGTCAATTTGTGTCAATTTTTGTCTCGATTTGCTTGCTATTTGTTTAATAAATTTACAGTCTACCTTAATTTCATATTTAAATTTAAATGCCTTGTAATATTGCACATTTATCTATAGAAGTCAATACTATCGACACGGCCTTTTGAACCAGACATGTTAATTTGTGTTATAGTAATAATGTTACCTTTTGAATTTCCAGATATGCCTTTTAACCACGAAAATGCTGATGCCATTCCAGTCACGCCGTCTGATTGCATTCATGATGACGGTAGTTTTTCGCATAATCGACCTCCTTTGGTGACTCTTCAAAATTTACCTGAATCGCCTGATATCACACAGAAGGTATTGCACTCTTTTCACTAACTCTTACTTTATCTTCCTTGCTTTTCAAATCGTCTTTTTTAGACACTTTTAGCTGATATACGCGAACTGACCTTCAAGGTGAATGAGCTACAAAATTGTTGTGATGATTACGAAAGCGAAAAAAGAGATCTTTTGAGAATTAAAGTGGAGTATGAGAAGAAAATACTTTCACTTGAAGAGAAATGTCGTTTTAAAGAGAGAGAACTTTTTGAATTACGTGACGCCAATGACCTACTTCAACTTTCTTACAAGGACAAAGAAGATATGAAAATTGAAATAAACCGGTTTGTTTTCTTTGTTTTGTGGCCATGAGATGCTAAAAAGTTTTAGATAATCATATTTTTTCATTAAAAGGTTAAAGGACGCTTTGGAAAGCTCTCAGCTAAATACCGAAATCGTTGCTGCAATTGAAAAGGAGAACAATGATTTGTTAAGAGAAAATTCCGTATATAGGAAAAGGGTAAGTTGGTTACTCTATTTCCGTGCGTTTAGTGCTTTTTTCTACAAACTTTTAATTTTTAGATAAAAGAGCTGGAAACTGAAGTGTCTGAATCGAAGACAGATCGAGGATGGAGGTTGCAATACGAGCAAGCAAAGGAGGCTTTAGAAAAGGCTGAAAAAACGGTAAGTGTATTCAAACTAACTATTGATTTATTGTTCAGTTAAGGCCAATTTGCATTACCAAATATATCTTCACATCTCTAATTCACTTGAATCCTTTGTCATCTAATGTGTTTTGTTATAAATTCACTTAATCGCTAGTGAAATCCGACTTCGGTGACCCGAAGTCCCGATTTTTGGTTATCTGATTAATTCATAAGTCATCGGCATGTCGTGACTTCGTCATTTAAACGACGCTATGCGACTGTGCAAGCAGGTCCTTATAATTCCTAAAAGTCACGAAAATCGAAGTTTAATTAGGGACAGCACGTTCATTAAACAGATAGTGCTATGTTTACGGGCTGCGTTATTCGTGAACGTTTTCTGAAACATTTTAACATTCAATTGGAGTCTAACTTAAGTTTATTTCTCGCTATTTTTTGTCTTTTATGTGCAAGATATACGAATTTATGAGAGACAGTGAACGTTCCAAGGCGGAATCTGAAGCTGAGGTTTTGAGCTTTCGTTTGACTCAGTGTCCATCGACAAACTGGGCGTTTATGACTCGCGCTAAATGCACCTGCACATGCCACCACCCTGAGCTACCTCCACAAGTTGATGGTGATTCGAGACCAGATTCCGTTCAAGAAAGTGGTGAACACTGCAGCACTCCGTCTTCCATTCGACCTCCTGAAACGACACAAAACATGGACGATATCTCCGTGGTAGATGTCTCCTTATGGCGAGACACTCGCACTGGTAAGTGTCTGTCAAGCTAAATTTTTTGGTGACTGATTCAATGAAATGCCCAAGTTATCCACACACATATTAACGCGGTTTTATCTGCAATGCCAATTTTTTCCCTCAATACTTATCTTTGAATATTTTGTACATCTAATTTCGTTCACCTACATGTTTTTTTGTAATTTTTTGGTGCTTTCGGTGAGAGTTAAACTAAAGATTGGTGCATAATGGACACTTGGAAGGAAATTATTTTGTGGTCTGGTTTTTTGTTTAGTTAATTGACTCATCTCTAGAGTAACTGACATACGGTCATTCCTTGGGATGTTGTCAAAGTGCATTTAACCTAGATCAAAATCCACTGCGTTAGGCAATTTTTTTGTTACATAGGGTCGACTCCATCAGAAGTGAACGGTGAGTGTCTGGGGGAAGTAATGGCCTACGATACGAAAATTCAGGAATTAGAAATCCAGCTAACCGAAGCTCGTTATGAGGTAATGCCTGAAGTCTTTTCCTTACGTGTCACACAGGTCGCATTTTGTGAATTCACTTTAATTTGTTTGAAATTCAGGCCCATAAGAATATTATTCCCGTTTTCCCGCTAAGTCCATCTCATTACAGTACTGGTAATATTATTTTCTACCGCCTTACCCGACTGATTAGTCTTGTACAAAATTCACGTGGATTCTCATCTAATGATCTCCGTACCAACCATTAACGGACCGAAATTAGTCAAATATATCCTTATTTGTAGATTAACCGTCTTAACGAGGAGGTGTCTCGACTCTCTCTCGCACACGACACGCTGTCTGATCAACATTCTGCATCGCGTGAAAATTTGGAAGTTCAGCTCTCGAGTCTCACTTTAGAGAAGGAAATTCTGCTTAACGATTTGGATGAAAAGCGTTTAGCTCTTGAAAAAGTTAATGCTGAACAAGCCACCCTTTCACATCAATTCACGCAAACGTCTAACAACCTGAAAGCAGTACAAACTGAAGCGAATCTACTTAAAGCAGAACTTAATCACGTCATGCAAACACTGGAGACCGTTACTAAGGACAGAGAATGTCAGTGTGAAAAAGTGCTTCATTTGGAGAGTGAGAAGAATCATCTTATCGAGGAAGGAAACAAGTTGAAGGAGGTTCAGGTTGCCCTCGAAGACCAACTGACAAATGCACAAAAAAGTGTTGAGTTATTCAAGTGCCAAATGGAGGAAAAACTCTCCGCCCTGGAGGTCCAACTTACTGAGACCCAAGAGAAATATACCTCTACCGAAGCCATCAACTCTCAACTTGTTAAACAGTTGGATTTACTACAGAAAGAGAAAGCCGATTATGTGGATCGTGAAAGGGTGCTTGGTCGACAACTTTCAGCCACCGAAGATAAGGTGACTTTTCTCACATCTAAGTTGCAGGAGACGAATTTGGAGCTGAATGAAAAGGTCCAGTTAATGGAGAATCTGAAGACAAAAAATGCAGATTTAATTGTGGCCCGAGAAGTTTCTGACAAGGTTCTCACTGACACTCAGTCTAGTCTATCCCAGGCACAGGCGGATATAACCCGTTTGTCAAGTGAGCTTGCTTGTGCTCTAGAAGCTAACCAGCGAATTGAGCACTTGGAATCTTCTCTCGGAGCGCGTGAATCCAATATCATGATGCTTAATCAAGCACTTTCCGACAACCAGGACGTGATTTCCCGGCTCTCTGAAGAGAAGCGCTACCTTGAGGCACGAGTGAAAAAATTGGAGATTGATGTTGAAGCTAAGACTTCTACCTGTACATTGTTAATTGGAGAACGGGATAAGGCGAAAGACGACTATTTCAGGTGTGCTCAAGACTGTTCAACTAAAAAAGAGCGCTGTGCTAGCCTTTTAAAGACGTTGGAAAAAGTTAAAGCCGATCTAGCAGAGCATAAAAGCGTCAATGACAAGAAATCTGAAAGGTTTGCTACAAGTGAAGAGGAGCTGTCTAAGTGCCGTGAACGGTTGTCTGTAACTAAACGTGATCTTGTACATTTATCTGAAAAAAATCAGTGCCTGCTTGAAGAAATTGCGAAACTTTCTAATGAGAAAAAAAATCTTAAGCAAGATCTCGACGAATATCATTCACGCGTAACTCGGCAGCGTGGCGAACTATCCAGTCTGACAGACGAAGTACTTCGATTGCAGGGAGAGGTGACAAAATGCAAAGAAGAAATAGCGGTACTCTCCAACGAAAAATCTTCTTTAGAATCAAAGTTGGAAAAGCGAACTGAAGAGATAGCTGATCTGGAATCCCAGTTGACGGAGCTCCAGGAGCAGGTAGGGTTTTACTGTCTTTTTCCGTAAATGTCACTGCAGCAAGCGCAATCTCTTGTATTTCCTCCTATTTTGGCATTGCGGTTTGCAATATCGAGATTTGCTTTATAATTTCTGACGAAAATGTTCAACTTGCAAACTTTTTCTTATTCAGGTTATGTTTTGAAATATGATAATTTTCATTTCGACTGAAACATGCCATGATCTGTACTTTGTTTATTACGAGTTACGTTCATCGTTATTTATTTGTGATGTGCTAGTATGTATGAATTTTGGAAAGCCCACATTTGAATTTGTTTTGCTTAAAGCATTCAAGTTATGGTCATAGTTGATTTTTCACATCTTTAGCTTGTGAATCACAAGCAACTTGCTGCTACCAATGCAAGTTTAACTGAAACAGTCACTTCTCTAGAAACTGATAGATGCCGCCTTGAGAACAAGTTGAAAAATGCGAGGCAGCAGTATGCTGCGGCCATGGGTGCACAAATGCTGGAGGAGGCCAGTAATCTGTTAGAGGAACGTCTGAAGAGTGTTTGGTCAAACTATCTCGCTGCCGAACAGCGCGTGGTTGAAGCACAACAAGCCGCTTCTCTTGCCACTTTCCATCAAAAAACTGCAGAAAAGGAATGTACGCGACTATCAAACTTTATTGAGGTCAGCGTCTGCTAAGCAATTCCTCTTGCCATGCATAAGCATGGTTTTAAAAACAAAGTGAACTTTCCACAATTTGGTCAAAAATGTTGAACATAGCGTTATTAATTGTTTCTCTGTGCGGACCATAAGTGTTTATAACCTGGTACATGCATGTATTTTAGTTGCGACAGGTAAAATTCTTGCTCTGCGTTTCCTAATTACCATGCTTAAAAGATCCACTTTATGTACTATCTTGGACGGAATTGAAATAAGTCATAAGCAATGTCGCAGATATTTCGTCTGTTCTAGGGGCCCCATCTAGCTGTGCTTGTTCCTGTATTAAGCATTTAATTTATTTACTTTTAATCTGCCATGGAAACACACTAAAGTTTCCGGTGGATTCTGGAAGTCATTTAATGTAAACCTCGTCGGGATCATGGGCTACACTCACTGATATTCTCCCTTATAGGCTCTCGAACGCCGTTTGGACAATGCGACGGCTGAGCATTTATCGTGTGAAGAGCGTCTGGCTGCTGAAACCGTGCGCTGTCGCCAACTGGAAGGTGTTTTGAACGAAAAAGAGGCCATCATTAATGGATTGCAGCACCAACTTAGTGTTCAACGAAAAGTGGCCCAAGAAAAGGAGGCGTCAATTCTTCTTCGCTACCTCAATGCGAGGGCTATGCAAGAAGAGACAGATAAGCGGTTTCCTTTTCGAGAGTCTATGTCTTCTATCATGGGAGACATGAAACGTAGTATGTCTTTCCTGACTTCTATTCAGTCTGTTTTTTTTTTTACATTTTTACGCAATCTATAGCTACCTTACTTCATTTGTGTATCGCGCACCTAAACAATTATCATACAATCTAAAAACACTGTTCTATTGCTTCCAAATCTATAGAAGGTTCCCATTGCATTAAAGGTGCCTTTTTGATAATTAAGGAATTTGCTGGCTATTTTGACGGTTATTTCGCATCATTCTCACTTCGTTACACCTTTTTCTTAATTTGCTGCTTCACACTTACTCGGGGACCAAATTTGTTTTCCGTCCTTGCTGTAAAATTCATACAATCTAGATATTAAATTCTTCAGCTAGTAGAATTATTTGCATTTCACGACGCTGTTTCGAAGATCATGGCTGTTTTTTTTTAAATCATCGTTCAACTTCCACTACGTTGCTGTATATGTACTCGATTTATGTATGTTCATGCCGATGGTGGGTCCTTGTCATTAAAAGGCTGACTTTTGTCTTACATTTTCAGGTTTTCGTAGTCTTGATCAGCTACCACACACCCTGCCTAACCCCAGACTTGGCATTGCGTCAATGAGTGATTTCGTTGGACCCACTTCAGGTCGTCTGTATTCTGAAATATTGGCTCCGTTTTCTTCACCTAAGCGTTCTGATCATGAAGAGCTTGCTGATAGTCGTCGAGGCAACCCGGCACTAGAGTGTAGTACTTGCGTCGACGTCGACATGGAACAGTTACCACCAGAGAAGAGTGTCATCTTTACGCCTCAAAACGTAAGTGTTTTTTTACCACTATTTCCTTTCTATAGATACTTTCGCACGTGTTTCAATTTGGGATGCCTAGTCTAGAGTTTCTTAAATATGTACCTGCGTCCTGTTTAGACTCAAATGCAAAAGGATACTTCACCACTTTTCGAGGAAAGGCTTCCCGAATTCCGTCAGCCTGCTGCTTCTGTTGCCTCAAATGCCGCCAGCAAGTTTTTTTACCCTGTTTTCTTTGGCAAATATCTTTTTGACAGGAACAGTGGGAACCTAGGCGCATTTTGGGTATTTTATATTTTTACCATTTCTACTCTTTTTTACGAGTTTTCAAATGCTGCTTGCATTGACAAACTACTCTCACTAATAAAGCCGGTTTTTTTCAATACGAAGTAACTTCCTTATTGGACCTCATATTCCTCGTAGCAAGGTGTCGTTTTTGGTCCCACGAATTCTTGACGCGACGTTTGTCTAGTATTGCAATTATTTTGTTTTTTCTCTTACCCTTTACCGCTGAAGTCATGAACACTTTTTTCCAGTACGTCTTGATTTTCGTAAAATGCTTTGAACAAAACAGGATCACAGATCCCTTTAATGAAGTAGATGTTAACCATCCTCGACTACAGGTTTGCGCCTAATTTTTCCGGTGTGTGCTAAAATAAATTGCGGCGGTTGTTTTGATTGCGGTTCTCCCTTTGTGCGTGTGTATCGTCTTGTTAATTATATTTTGCTCAAGTTTTGTTTTTACAGATGCTCGACGCTTTCGACGCGCGGAGCCTTTGATGCTTACGACAAAAGAAGCCTCCTTTCTGACTCCCTTGAAAAACGGTAGCCATTTTGTTGAGAGAGAAGACGTCGTTCCTCTCACTCATGCTCAGTTTGTTCACAACGGAGACGTCTCCTCATGCACCCCAGTTAGTTCGCAAGGCGCAAACACCCTGGAGAGTGGCAGCTGGAATGAGGTTGGCCCACTTATTCCGCATGAATGCCAAGATTCTACTTCAACTGGTAACGTTCAAACATCCTATCGAGTGATTTATATGGCCGAGAAAGTGGAGAAATCACGATGTCAGTCATGTAAGCAAATCTCATTGTTATTTCTGACTGGCAATAATTTGCTATCTCTCAGCAAAGTTTTCGGAATACCATAGTACCAACGAGTTCAGACATATTTGTTAGTCTTCGTTGTTTCAATTTGGTTATGATTGTAGTTCTACGCATTCTGTGTACTCGATGTCGCTAGATAATTGTTTCACTCATGTAATCTCTAAGCTCGTTTCCTTGAGACACCTCCAGGAATGTTACCCAATTTTAATAAGACTGGCGATTTTCATTTGGAGCTTCTTACTATTTAACGGCTCCTAAGTGTGTAGTCTTTCCCAAACCCCATTAGCTGCGAGTAACAAGACAACCACTTCTTCTGAATCAAATCCGGTATCTGAACTGGCGAATTGGCCCCCCTATAAGAATTGTGCTGCACCACTTAGTCCCCAGGCTCTGTGCGGTGGTGAAGGTTTTGCTGTCCCCACCCCACACGACACGCACTTTCGTCGACTTCGACGCCTTCTGGTCGCTCCGGCAGCCGAAGAAATGGAGGCAGATGACATTTTGACCTGTGGAGACACACTCGAGGCAAAACCCATTCCAAGACGCGATCAAATAAAACATCCATGTATGTTTTCTACAATTGTATGGCGCTTCTGAGCGATTATGCCTCACTGTTCTATTCTAATTAGTTGATATTCGAGGTGCTTAGTTGTTTCATTCAATTTGCGGAGGCTTTTCACAAATTTCGGTTGATTATCTATAAATTGCCTATGTAATGTTGCCCCTGTTTCGGTTCTAGATTTTAGTGATAAACACTGTTTTTTACGCCTGACTGGCCCCACTCTCCGGCAATATTTTCAATTATCTACTTAGTTGTATGTATTGTTTTGATTTCTGTAGGGACTTCATCGTCTCATGGATTTGTGCCTAAGGGAAACTTTAATTCACTTGTTGAATCTACTTTAATGGCTGCAGATAAACCAACTCCGGTAAGCCAAGAGGTCTTTATGATTGTCCTACCTTTAAGTTTCCGCGCAACAGCGATGAAAGGGCGCAGCGTCGCATTGTTGGCTGAAATCGTAACTTAAGCTACTACACCGTGTTCGATATCTCTGTCATAACGAGCATTATGTCTGACCTTAAGCACATAGGTGTGTCTGGAATAATTCTTATCGACCAACCCAGCCTTAAAAACCATTAAATTTGAGCGATCACATTGAGGATGTATATTCGTCAAAAATATCGGTACCTAGCAAGAAGGCTCGTCTAAAGGACTTACCGGGGTTTCCAAACCATACATTGGGAGATACAGCACATTTAAATAATTTTGCCACGACCGCCATGTCTAAAACTTTCACTTAATGTCAGCACTGCACGTGCGAAACACTGGCTTATTGGTTGTTACAATATTTTATTAAATTTGACCAGGATGCCGAAATAGCGGATTACGCTTTTAGCCTCGATTTAGTAAGAAAGTTTGTTTTACGAAATCAAAAAAAATCTGGCTTTTGAAAACTACCAAACCCACCCTACCCACATTGTAGGCAGAAAGCCAGATGTGTTATAGAAACGATGAACTCAGCTCACAAACGTGTGTAACGAAGGATTAGGGATCAAGAGTTCTGATGTATAATTAGACCAAATACACATGTTTTCTCTTAAACGAACCATGTCACCACTCCCTCATTCCCTCTGCAGGTCGAAGACATGGTTGTGAGTCGTCGAAAGCCCTCAGATTGTAAAGCAGACACAGGTACTACTAGCCACAGTGCACTTCCTACCGGTATTAGGTGCCCCACCTCACCCGGATTGCCCCGCTTCCACTCTGTTATGGAGCTTTCAGATCGTGGAGACACACCCTTCCGCTCGGATAGTGTAGCTGCGATTGACTCAATAGTGGGGAATCGTGCATTGACTCAGTCGCGTTCACATGCTGCTCCTCCGCCCAGTTTCCGCCGTTTTAAGGAAAGATTTAACGGGAAAGTGTATAAAAGCGCAAGTAGCACTCCTGTTCTGTCAAGCAGTCCGAGTCAAAATGTGAAAGATGTTGAACGTGACTCCTCAAGCTGTAGCGCAAAATCAAAGAAGTCCAAAAAGGTGGGTGGTTTCCTGTTTACTTGGTTTTTGTGATGTGGCCTCGTCTTCGGACGACTAAATTAGTTCATTTACACGCTCCTTGTCGCGCATTCTTTTCGCAGTGTCTAACCTCGGGTCACCAGACTACCTGACCAATGACTTGATGTAAATTTCCTTTTAGTTACGTTTATCAAACGTTTTCAAGACGAAGAAAAAACGAAATCTGGTAGGTTTGACCCTCTTTTAGATGTCTACAATTCAAGTTTCCCAAATTATATGGCGTTTCCTCTTCAGACTCCTCGACCTGGAACTTGACCATACCGTTTAATTATCAACGTTTTGGACGCAAACGTCGAATCAATGTTTGTTTTTGTACAGTGGTTTGATCAACCTTCGTGTAATCACCCTTCTAAGTACCAATTTCAAGTTCACTCTCACTTATTGGTATAAATGGATTGTCTGTTTACATTTCCAAGTCACTACACTGACAAATTGTAGTGTATAATTTACGAATCAGCTATGTACCTCAATGTGACGACTGAAAACTGTCTTCCTCCAGGTCTCAAATTAGGGCAACGAGGTAGGCTACAGGTCAATTAAATATTTTGATTCCTCGTATCTAGTGGGCCAACTACTTTCATAAAAATGAGAAATGTGAAATACTATTATTATTACTTTTAAAATATCTCAAAGTATACGACGAATCAAAAGGTCGCAACTTCATTATTAACTGCTTGTCGGACACGGAGATGCACTACACGGACACTTCCGTTCTATTTAGCACAATTTATGCATGTAATTGGCTCTCATTATAGCAAAAAAATGCTCACTAACCTTTTTGTTTAAAAGTGTATGCACTCTTCACCTTCCCGCCAACTAATCTCCTTTTAATTATAAAAGTTTTTCACCGTCTTTGAAAATGTCTGGCGCTGACATACTGTCATGGATTTACTAGATGAATTGGCCCCCAAGGGCTGACCCCGTACAAGTTAGGATGACATTGATCAATGCATACTCCAGCAACGTTTAGATATTGAGTATAGACGTGATTAGCTTTTTTATGCCATATGCACAGTTATCATCAGGCGGTTTGGCTGGTCGGATCAAGATAGATGAAGTGGGAAAAATATGGAGGAATATTGTGTAATGTAAACTTTCGTACTTTATATGGGACATCAAACACGAGTTTCGGAGATATTTTGACGTGAAATGCATGTTGATTTATATTTCGGCTTGCTTTGAAGGAAGTTGAGGAAAATTAAATACAACAAGGAAAGCCCGTGGACCAAGGAACTGTTAGACTGTACACAGTCGATTCCATCAAAGTGAGTAAATGCATCAGATTAGAAGGATGGTTTGCTTTAGTGATTTGTATCACCGTCGGCATGCCTTCGATTGTTCGAAGATGTCTCCTTGGCCCTTCTTTGTTCGTTATTCGATGTTTGAGTTGGCGCCATATTGACTAAGGCCAACGAACGTGCGATTGCTTGGGCTTCGCCCTGAATTTCACTAATTCGTTTGCAGAGAGCAGCCAAGTTAACGTCATTTCCCGTGGGAACAGCGGTAGAGGGAAACACAAGGTCACCGGAGCCTTTTTAGACAAATAACGGAAGATTAACTGCCAATTATTAGAATCGGGCTACCTTTAAAGTCGACAATGGAAATGACCAACTAGGGAACATTTCTTTTGTTTTACGGTGTGTAGTATTTTATGGCGAGACCCCGATAATCCCGTTTGACAAACTTTCCCTCTCGGTCCCACTCATAACAAGTAAAAAGTTATTATTTCTTCGAATTGATGAATTGTGATACGAAAAGCAGACTATTTTTGTTACGTTAATCCGCTGCGCAACTGAATTTTGTTAGTCCACTGGGAGGTGTAATGTAGGGAGACGCTGTTGTAATATTCTCCGATAGTATGCGCACAAGATGGAGTTCATATCTACGTTTAAATGGAATACAAAGTTATCTGTATCGACCCTATAAATTTGACGAAACTCCAATAGAAAGGATTCCAGTGTAAAACCTTATTTTGAACGAGATTCGTACAATCATAATACATGGTCAAGAAGTGACAAGAATTGTGAGGCTTACCTGTTCGGTGCGTAACTTGGTCACGAGTTGTTGATTGAGAACCGGAGGAAAGCAACCGCCTAAATAAAAGTATTACAAAGATTCCAAATCCAATGAATTAAGGGTTCCAATTAAATAAGTTTCGATAAGGCAGATGTCATTAATAATAACAGGACCTACGTTCACTTGGAATATTCCAACAGTGTAATGTGGGTTACTGAGAAACTATTTTAGAGAATTGAAGTGCGACAAAAGATTCAGTTTTATGAAATGAGAGTGATATTATCGTGAACCATAAACGAATGGCGAAATACTCAGTGCTAACGTTTGCATTATTAGTGATTCGCTGGAGGTGCAAGGTAGAGTAAGAAGTGACAACGTACGATTGTAATAGAGGTTGGAGTCGCCGGACGGCCCAATGAGAAACCGCGGTCGAATGTGACATATCTGACGTAGATGATACAGGACGTCGCCTATGTGGTTGACCTGCCATCATTGTGTGGAAGGTGTCAGGACTCGCGTCTGAAGTACAATGATTAAAAGTGGGGAAACTCTCCCAGGCACGACGGGGTCCATTTCGGACGCTGCCCTCGCTGCTCCTCTGCACAGCTTCCATTACGTCACGATCACCTACACAACAAGAGAGTGCATGTAGACACCGAAATAGATCTAACATGAGGCTTTCAGATGCCATGAACCTAGAATTCACGTAGAGGAGTGGATAAGAACTTCATCGACACGCCAAAAATTGGGGTAAGGCCTTAACTACGTTCTGCAAACTATTTTTCAAGGGTAGTACGATCAGTAAATATTGCCAAGATGAAGAGGACAAACGGGTTTCTACCTCAAAAAACAGGGATATTCACTCGCCACAATCTGCGCATGGGGTCATCCTATAACGACATCATTGCAATTCGTGCCCCACTTAACGAGTTTGACTTTAAGGATTTCGCACTGTACTTCCGTCCGACGTAGAAAAACTTCGCCACATAGTCACAAGAGGTAGCGCACAACAAATGCCCCCGAAATGAAGTGTGCCAATCTATACGAATGACCGCCGGGACGTACCAGTCATTGTTTCCTCATCAATATCGTTCTCTGCTGTACAGACACTAGAGGGTCGTTCCTGAGATTGCAGCAAGGGTTCATGAAAAATGTGTCGACAGACCGCCGTTTGTCTGTGATTCTCCTCCACGTCAACATCAACTTCTTCCTCATCTTCGTCTTCTGCCGAAAGACTTGTTGAGAGACCGAGGAGCAGCCAATCTACTGAGTCAGCAGTCTGCGTGGTCGTGGTGGTCCTTGAGGACCTGGTGCTCACACTCGGAATTGGTGAATTTGCAATGTAGTACGGCAGAAGCCGTCTCGAGTCAGGGGAAAGTAAAGGTGCTGTGCTCCTGCGAATAAGAGAAATCGTTCTCGGAAACGAGGAGGCCTCAAGCACAAAAATTTCACTGTTGAGTTAAAAGCAGCTACAATGTGTTAATGTTAACGATAGACCATGGTCTAACAAGAATGGACAGCAGAGAGCGGGGTTTGAGAAAAAAGGGCTGCAGACGCCTTCAGGCGAGGTTGTGGAAGTCATTAGTGTGTTCAGGTGTCCACAGAGATCTGTCACAAATACACAAAAACCCTAAACCGAATTAAACTGTTAAGGGGCGGTGGTCAAAATTGACCAGGGCTCAGGGAGACCGTTGTCATAAACGTCAACCAGTCAGCTTTTTCGAAGTTAGAGCGATGGGTGGAACTAAACGCAATGCACTCAGTTACGACTACCTACCACGAACCAAGCAAAGCAAATTATGCAGAGGGACTTTGAAATCCACTTTCCAGCGATGGAGACACATTCCCTAACACTACGCGGGTACTTTTGACTAATACAAGAAAAGATGTAGCGGTTGAATTAAATTTACAACATGTAATTATGTGAGTAGGAAACGTGCACAGCAGATTTGTGGAATACCTTCAATCAACGAAATTAATAATCCACGATTTCCCTAAAATGTAGTTTTTGGTTCGGAAATATTACATTGCGTGTTTTATAAGGTTACAAACGCACTGTGTTGGCTATACAGAAACGCACGAGGCATTTGCTTTTAGACTCAGGAAAATGGTCTTAACGCAATCTACTAGCTGAGTCGATGATGAAAAAGGGATTTCAATGGAGAAAGGGCGAAAGCCAATTCAAACGCTTCACACGTTACCAAGCCCACATGATTGTTAACAGCGTTGCGTCACCTAGAGATCGATGCGGAAGACAATAGAAAATATCAGCACATAAAAACAAGTTTGTTTTGGTAAATTTTTCAAAGAACCAATTAAAAGCCTACTCAGCAGTCGTTAAAATACACATGAATACAAAGAAGATTAAGAAAAGTTCCTGAACACTGGGGCGTAGGCTCAACAGATTCCGTCTAGTAGCCCAGAATTTCAGTGTGGCCAAAAATATTTATTTTGATGTCAAGGGGATAAAAATCACAAAACAAACTGCAGATTAAGCGCATCTGTTATGTAGAAATTAAATTGCTTCCCTCCAATTTCATAACTAATGAGAATCTGAAATAATACTTAATAAAAGGCTGCAGCATATTATGGAGCACGTGAGGGCACGACTTACCAGGATCGGTGCTTCCAAGTAAATATAACAACTTGCGCACGTTGACTGATTTATAAAGTAGGTATTCATAGTTATTCAAAATTTTCGACCATTTACCTCAAGGACTTCATCAAATTTGCTTAGTATTCGCCCAAGGGAATGCTGTACTGAGCCCAGACTATCTTCTGTGTATGATGAAAGGGCCAAAATCCCGAGAATTTCGGTGGCCCAGATGACAGCTTGTCCAGATTGATGAGAAGCCATTTTAGTAGAGTGAATATCTTCAACTTGTTCCGTGCCACCAGAACTGAAAAGACGCCAAGTAGAGGCGAACGGCACATCCCTCAGCAGATGTCGCAACCCTGGCACCTTTTTGCAAAACTTTATTACCTAAAATAAAAAAGTATGCGATCTGTAAAGGGGAGAGAGTTTAATACAACTACTGAGTTGATTTGACTAACACCTTAGCTAGGTTATACGCAAGGGTATCAGATCTTGGGAAGTACAATCGAAGGTTTCGGTGGATATTTAGGGAGGTGAGCTTTAGCATTTAAAACTAGCATATGCCTGTACCTGTTTACGGTCAGACCAATAAAATCAAGAAATGAGACTTCAGCAACGTATGCAAAGTTGAACAATGAAATAAATTACTCCAATTACTCAAATTTAATGTTAACAAACTATGGTTTGAGAAAAATTGATTATCGCCTTTAAGATCTCGGGAAGTCATACATTTGGGAGATCTACTCAGGTGCTCGTGCCTAAATTAAGGCACGAATTCAGTAGACTTTATAACATGTATCTACTAGATGGCAACATGCTTCAAAGTCAACCAAATTCCAGAGATTCGATGCAAGTCACGCTTGTTTATTCAAAACAAAGTGAGAATCATGTTATCATAAATTTGATTCGTATTTATAATCTAAAGGAACTAAAAAACGCTCTTTTGAGAGCGAGATAAGTCATGGAAAACAGACAGGCACAAAGGACTGCTACAGCTGGTCCTTAATGAGTAGCAATGTGTGTTTATTTGGTCCCAACACAAACGCTCAAAACAAATAAGTATAGACAATCTGTTAAACAATCAGATCATTTTTAAACCAACATGACGTGAAAAAACATCCCACCCTCTGGAATTTCGAAACCGGTTCACCGACTAAGCCGAATTATGACTTAAACGAAAAATTACAGTATTACAAACGGTGGAAAATAAAAACATCCAATGTAAAGAAGCATATAATTTTCCAATTTAGATAAGGTACTCACAACACTTGCAAACTGACGGAAGACTACCGCAAAGGAACCTGCATCAGAGCACATATTGAAATGCGCAGTATTGACAAGCAGTGGAGTGTCTCTGCGAGTGTTGAATGGTCTGGATGCCGCTACAAAGTCATAAGAATGCAGTGAGCGGTAAATTAAATAAGAAGAATGTAGACATTGGGAAGAATGTTATCTAAAAATACTATAAACAAAAAATCCACAACTAAAACGTGAAGTAAAATGCGATATTAAAGGTCTAGAAGCACCCATGATAGAGGACTTGCACAAAAAAGAGGAGTCAAAATGTAAAAATTGACCGCCACTAAAAATTCTGTAAATAGGCTTGATAAATGAATGCAGCGATTAAAGTCTGTGCCATAGGTAGTAGAAACCCCACAACATGAATATTCGTTCCAAGAAAACTTATTAGATTTAAGCAATCAAGATACAAATTTTCGCATTTTAAATGATGACAATTTTGACACAATCGTCAAAAATATAAAGATAGTAAGCTCATAAAAGAACACAACAACAGTTTGGCCGCACAAGTTACACAAATATTGAGACAAATTAACTGAACAGATGAGCCTTTAAGCATTCAGATAGTAATGACTCGTAAATTCATTAAAAAGGATGGTAACTCAAAGTAATGATTTCTTACCGGAAAATTTCGTAGATATGGCTGTGAGTTCCTTATTGGCTTTATTCAGGCCAACCAAGAATGTTTCCAATTTTTCAAGGCATAATTCACTCAGACGACACCAAAGTGTGGCTTGGCCATCTAAAAAACGTGCATTCTATTACTTTGCTTAAAAGGTGCTATCTTGATCAGTGAAATCAGCAAAGCGCAGCAACCCTAATGAACGAAGTTTTTCAGGCCCAACATCTGGGTTATATTCTTGGAAAGTTGACAAAACGCTTCGAAAGTCAAAACACTATTTCTGGTTAATAAGAGGCATGAAAAACAGAAATTTACATCGCGTGAATCATTTTACTAGATAACGGATAGAAGGTACTGAAAACAATGGAACTGATTATGATATAATAAGCAGGCGCATGAAAATGGTGTAGTCAAATTATCATTGGATGAATTAGCCATCGTACATTATTGGCATAATAAAGGCCAAATAAATGGCAGAAATACTTAAAATCCACTATAAAGTATTCTTACTTATGTCGGTAACACTAAAGATTTGCTTTCGAGTTTGCTCATCCATAGCAACAGCGTCCGCAAGTCTTCCTAGTAAAAGGTGCTAATCCAAATGAGGAATAATATTAACGACATACATGTAAGAGCCCATCCGATTTCGAGTTTTCAATGAGCTCTTTGACGACTAGCACATGGCTTCTATCCTCCTTAAGAGGAGACAAGCTCTGGGTCAGTGTACTTTGAAGAAGTGTCAGAGAACCGCCCCACATAGCAAATAGATAAACTCCCGTAATGTACATCTTGCATACTGTAGACCAGCTTAAATAGTTGAATAACCTTAATACATACACATGAGACGAAAATAGACCATATACCTCAATGGAGATATCCGCAGAAATAGAAAAATGAATACTGCGCAAAAGGAGATGAAATACACTATCCTTCCCACAGTGCGCAGACAGTTTTGCACAAAAATATCCTTGAAAATGTCGAAAAGGGAAATTGATCTATTATCAAAAGTCAAAGTGAGGAGGTTCCGAGTAATTGCATTGATTGCGAATGAATATCCAATGAAGCCACCATACAGAATGACCCAGCCTGTTTCGTCGATAGAAACACTAAATTGTGCGAACCGGTTCAAAACCAACGGCACAACTTACTCATAACCAATGAAATTATTAAGAGTCCACGCTTGGCAGATACCAAGAAAACACATAGTCAGCGAAAACAAAACGTTTCGCTGATTTACTAGCACCAACAAAAAGGCACTGTTTTTTTCAGGAGCAATATCTGAAACTTATTTTAAAAACGAACTAATAAATGAAAGCGAAAAGACATACCTTTGAAGTTATTAAATAGCTGCCTGATCACGATTGATGCTATGCACGAATTGGCAATTATAAAGAAGAGGTCGCGAATCCCACTCAGTGATGAGAAAGGAAAGAAAATGCGGAGGTTGGCTAAGGAGTAGATGCATACCACAAAAGCGAAATTGAACATTACAGAAAGAGCAGACGATGTAAAAAATCTCAGAAAAATTTCCTGAGAGAAATCTTTCGAATATTATACAAAACATACCTTATTCAGAGGTCCCACTTTACAAGAACTATCAAATTTACTTAACATTCCAAAAGGCAATTTGCTTGAGTAGTCTAGAAAAGAACACGAAGACTTGATTCGTAGCAATGGAAAAGAGGACTGCAATCCAAACAACAATTCCAGCATTACACAGGGACTTGGAATATCATGCACGACTAAGTCATGCTTGCGGTAGAGTATCTACATCCAAATCTCAATACAATTACTAAAATTGACCGACTTTTAGAAATAAACGCATGGGAAAAACTGCATATTCAGTC